TGTGGTTGTGTTCTTAAACCACAGAATTTTTTGCACCTGTATTCTTATATGAATGAATTCCATTTGTTCATAAGTTGAAAGCATGCTAGTCATTCCTAATTAGCATAGGTTAACTAGAGAAATGCATTTCCTGTCGAAAATGCATGTGGATGCTGATATGCTGAAGGATTGCCTTGAAAATGCCTGAAATCAATAGCTGAAACAGCTGAAGGATGAGAAGAAATGGCTGAAAGTCTTTGTTGCAATAGTTGAGAAGAAATGGCTGAAGTTTTTTGTTGAATAATCTGAAGGATGAGAGGCAATAAATAGAAGTAGGACTGTCCTTGAAGAGCTGAACATTTTGATACCTGAATGGCTTTTCTAGCTGAAAGTGTGCTGAACTTATTAAGATGTGAAAATTTTCCCACTGGTCTCACAAAGTAGATAAAACAAGTAGGGGTGTAGGTGTTTGTGTGTATGTGTGTGTGTGAGAAAGAGAGAGTAGTCCCACACCCTGAGGACTACTAGTGTGGCTACAATGAAATGAAATGAAACATAAAATGTAAATGTAATTATGCAAAAACTGTAAAAGATATCAAAAAGCTGGTTACAGTATCAATAGCTGAAGAGTTGCTGAATAGTTAACAGTTGAAATAATGTTTCTAGTTCAATGTACGCTTAAGTCATTAAGATGTGAAAATGTTTCCCATTCATTTGAATGGGGCAAAATTTACTGAAAAAAGCTAAATATTTAAAAAAGTATAAATGTTACAAACAAGAAAAATACAAGTGCACGTTCTTAATAAGCTGAACATTTTGATATTTGAATGATTTTTCTAGCTGAAAGTAAGCTGAAGAAATTAGGTGACAAAAAACAGATGGAAGAACCAGAATAATAAAAAAAAATAAATGCCAGGATACCATAGTATGGCTACTTCAAGCATCCACACAATTATGTTTTTACGTACATTAGCATGGCTCTTCGTTTTCAGTTTTGACCAACTGTTCACCAAAAAGCCAATCTCACATATGAGTTTGACTTTACAACAAATGTTATCTCCCACCACATTTCAAAAAGTTGCGTTTGCTGCTTCAATGGCACAAAGTTTTTAGTAAATTACATTCTCCTCAATCAAGCGCTAGGGGTGGGATGGATCGCAAAACTCACAGTTTGGATCAGTTTGGATTATTTAAAAAACTAATATGAGCATTTAAAGCAAGGACCCTTTGCATATGGTCTTAAGTTAAAACAACAATCAAGAATCAAGATCCTCAATGTTTAAATAAAATCTTAAAATAAACCCTATCACTACATACCTTCTTACACACTTCTAAACACCTGTGTGTAATAGCCACCCCAGTAATCATGCTAATATGAAGACAAAACCACCACAGCAGTGACTAAGACATTGCCAGAACCCAAAAAAAAGTGCTTGAGATGTTTGGTTTGTCTCAACCACTTGTTGTGTCTCTTTCATCTCCTTCCACTGCAGCCACCCCAAAGGGAGGATCAGGTGAAAGTTCTCATTTCAGCAAGTCTAAATCTTCTTTTTTTAACACCAACCTTGAATTCCTCATTGTAGCGGAATATCTATCCAGAGCTACTAGATGCTCAGGGACACAGTGTTACACATCTGTCATGACAAGTTCATGTAGCATCCTCAAAGAGCAGCTTCACATCAGTGGGATGAAGTTCAGCATCCTGAGCACTCACTGGTGTCTCTCATTACTCCCTATTCTCTCTGTCTGGAAACAAAGTGAGCCTTTCCCTTATCCACAAAACAAAAAAAAAACAACATTTGCCTCCCGCACTCACCTCTGTGTTTTGTTTACGCCAGTTTTCATCTTCTCTCCTCCTTTTTATAACAACCTTTAATACTTTCGTTTTGCTGGTGTCAGAAATGCTTCACAGTCAACGAGAACAGACTGTGTTAGCCCAGATCCACTGCTAGTCAGACAACATGCATGGCATGGCTGAAGTATTGATTAGTCAGTATATAAAAAAAAAAAAAAAGTAATTATTAATCCATGGAAGTCTCAGATGGCATCCCTCCACATGCCACTTACAGTCTGCTTAATCAAACTAGTATCCTCCGTAAATGACAATGGGGCTAATCGATGCTGATGAGAGAGCATGTCACTGCTCTCTATCAAGGCAGTTAAACCCCTGCCTGTGGAGGTTCATCCTAATTTAACCTGACACTTTAAATATCTTCAGTCATCATTGACCTCAGAGAAACTTGATTCAACGCAGACACGACTCAAGGGCATGGACAGAAGTTGTAAAATGAAAGGTGTGACATGAAAGAGAAGGAAGGAAGTGAAAAGAGGACAGATTGGAAGAGATAAGGAAAGGAAAAAGGTTGTTCCATCCAACATATCCAGAGAAAGAAGGTTATAAAAGAAATGTAAAACAGAAAAGATCAAAGGAGAAAGAGAAGAGAGTGATGCTGGTAGAAAAAGAATGGAAGTGCGATCAAAGCCGTGCAGAAGGCTAGGAGGAGCAGACAATGAGAGTGACAGTGGTAATGAAGAGCCTGAATGGAAGGAGCAAGGCTGGAGATGGAAACCGAGTCCCTCGGGACGCACTGCTTACTGATTGCAAGCAACCTCAATGGACAGTACAAACCTGACATATACCAGCACTGCATCACATCACCTGAGAACTCAGTCTCAGTACCCAGCTCCTCGTTTCAAACCAACTACTCCAGGTGATGCCAGGAATGTAAATTGAATTATGTCCTTTTTTTTCATTTCACAAACTAAGCTGTTCTCAAATATTAAAAGCAAGACGTCTGCATAAATTTAAAAATTGCATAAAAAGAACATTCTAATTTAAATTTAGATCTGTTTGGTAAAATAATACGGAGAGATTATTACAGAAGTAACCAGTGCTTTGTAGTCAACTATCAGTAGTCGGCTATCTGTATACGTTTCAGTTGTTACCAGGAAAAGTGTTCAACACCCAACCTTAGAAAAAGCTGTAGCAATTTATTCGACCTTGATTCATCTGAGCTTAAGCTACCTCTGAAAATCTGGTCCATAGTGTTTGAACAGAGAAGCATCTACAGGAGAACAACACATCAGATCTGTTTCATAAATGAACACATAGACCTGCAAAAATTAGCCAGTTAAAATTTTCAAACATCAGCTTCTCGGATGAAGATTTGCTGCTTTGCTTTCAATTCATTACTGATCATTTCATTTTGGACTGTTGTTTGGAAGAATAAGCCTAATGAAGTTATCACTGTGAGCATCATTTTTGAGGCATTTTATACACTACATTAATTAAATATTCTGCTGATTAACTGATGATGAAAATAACTGTTGGTTGTTTCCCTATACACAACAGTACACAGCAGACACTGATGACAAAGTTCATTCAAAAGGCAGCACTTAAAGAAATACTGACAAAGAAGCAGAAAAGATATGAATTATCATCTGATACCAACTAAGATCAGATCAGGTCCAAACATTGGACCTGACACTACAACCCTGTTATAAGCAGTGAGGAAAAACCTGACCTGGCAACCACACAGCCTACATGCTGGTCTTCAGAGCAGGTTTCACCAGTTAATGACTTCTCTTGGGCTCATCAAAGTGCTTACTTAAGCAGACCCATTCACTCTACCAGACTATATCTATTCCCAATATGACTGCAGAGTCCTGGCACAGCATCGTGTCTGCCTAAGGGGCTGCTAGGGAGCAAGGCTTAGCCAAATCTCTCTGGTAAGGTTATTAGTATTCCTTGGGGAAGAATTCCTGAGCCCTCTCCATTCTACAGCTCCTGGCTGAATGAATGTGGGGGTTAACACCATCAATAGGCGCACAGCCAGCCTGTAGGATAGGGACACCAGATACTATAGCATCTCAATTGTTACACAATCGAGGAAATAACTGGTGTGCCTGACTTGGATATAATTCAATTAGAGCAATAAAGAAGTTGTTATTATTCTCTGGAACAAATATAAAGTGTAAAACACGACAAGAACTAGTGTTTCTTGCTACCCATGAAAGCAGAAGAACCAACACCCCATTGGACAACTTGTAGAAAATCTGGATTTAATCTATTCTAACCAAGATGAAAAACAAATTCCTCAAGAGCTTTCAGTTAGTTTTCTGTTACCTCGAGATTCTTCTTTTTTTTGGTAATCTTCTGTGGTATTACTATATCCCACTCACTTGAGTAAAGAAAATATGACACCGCTGGTTTCTCATCAGATCACTCATACAGACAAAAATCAATGCTGCAATAATCACTAGTAACCTATTCAGCCATCTATTATTAAAAATGTTTCAGGCATTCATGAGAGCAGGCTGTGAGTGATACTAAATAGATTAGGATGAGCTCTAATCCACATCTGCAGCTCATAAAAACAGGCCTCAGTCAATGGCTTTCCCAAGGTAATATGTCAGTAATATGAATGATAAAACTTAGGAGCATCCTCAGCCTGGAGGTGATATAAAGGGGAGCATAAGGCAGTGTGATGAATGGAGCTGGCTGTGCTGTCTGTGTATGTCTACAGTACCTTCAGCTAAAGTTTGGCAATGGAAGCATACACCAAAAAAACTGCTTTAGGTCTCTGTATGATAACATTAAGTTCTGCTCTTTAAAATGTGATATAAGGGATGCATTTTAGTGAGAAGCACCAAATCGATAACAATTACATGAAAAGTAGGTTTTTGAAACTGAGATGTTGGGTTTCCTGCTCTCTGCCTCAGGGTCATCACTAACTCCTAGTTAATAGGCGTTTTACTCCCAATATTATCACTTGCTGATGTCGGTTAGCCAAGGTGCATAAATAATAATCAGCACACCGCCTTGTTGATCTGACAGCACCTCGCAGAAGTGATTTGTATATTTACACCCAACAACCACACACACTCCTGAGCAGGTGCAATCAATCTGGACCAATCCCTGTTGTGCCTTATCTTTTGATCATTCCCACAAGCATCTCTGAGTGAATCACTAAGTAGCGAAATCACACGTTTCTCAGTAAATTGATGGTAAATTGGCTTACCTGGTGTCTAGCAGCTGAAGAAGGGAGGCTCTGTCTCTCTTTACTGCAGCTCTTTATTCTAACAAGCAGACCAAGACGGTTTTTAGAGGAAGCACCACGGCGGAAAAAGCTGGCTTAAGTCTCCTAGAAGATGTTCCCAAAGAGCGGAGGGGACGGCTGTCATTCCGGGTGTCTGTCAGGAAACGAAAAAGCACTGCTCGGGCTGGGAGAAGACGACAGCAGCCTGCAGACCTGAGAGTGCCAAGCCCATGTGAGCGCGTAACGGGGAGTGCAGCAGTTCGGCCAAACACGAGGTGGCAGTGTTGCACACAAGGTCCCCTTTAGTGGAGGCTTGTGGGGAGGGTGTGCCACTGCTGAATCATGTTACCAACTAATGTAGCGCCGGGTTTCTTTTGGTCACGTCATACATTTAGATTTTTGAGGGGGTAAAGTTTTACAATTCCATTGACATAAAAAGTTTAAATCGTTCATACTAGTGCAATCTTAATTTATTTAACCTTTAACCAGGAAAACCCTTTGGAGTGTCCACGACAAACAGCACAGATACAAACAGTACAAACAGATCCATAAACAATTGATAATAAAAAATAAATTAAAACCTGTAAAACCACGGAGTCAGCTACACTAGTTTAAAGCATTAAAACAAATAGAATTAACAAACATCCTGATAATGGCAAGTATTTGTTGAGGTAGTCACTCCCTGCAACAAAGCTTTAAATCTACCCAATGAAACTAATTAATGTAATTGAAGCTCTTTTTTGCAAAGAGCTCCATATATGGGGAGCAGCATTTTAAAAAAGCTGGCTTATCAAATTCAGTTTTAACCTTTGGTACAGTCAGCATGTGATCTTATGATCTCCCATCTTATGTGAGTGCACAGGTAAGCTGGTAAAAGGCAAAAAAATGTCTTTAGAAATAAAATAATGCAAGATTATTTTCAATATTAAATCTACAGAGAAGTTTGTTTTTTGGTGTCCTCTGTCTTCCACTGACTATCTTCAGTGTTTCCTGCAACTAAAAAAATGACACATGACACAAAAGCAAAGTGACCACAAAGAGACACAGTGTGTCAAAATAGATCCAAATAACCAAGAAGAGATGGAAAGATGGATAAAACAAGTACAACTACACATAAAATGATACACAGATGCAAAATGAATAAGTCCCTCAGTCATGCTTTTATGAAATGGACTCAGGGGGACTCAGGGGGACTCAGTGGGCCCCTGGGCGTCTGTGCCCAGGGGCCCACTCATCATGTCACACAGGTTTCTGAGAGGTGGCTGGCCAGGCCAAAAAACGACCATAATTCATGAGATTAAATTTAAAGAAAGAAAATCTACCCAATATGTGGTAGGCTACAGGTAATCAGGACAAGAGTCTTAGAGCCACATGTATAAACGATGCATACACACAAAACCATGCTACACCTTTTCCCACGCATAAACGGGAATGTATGCACAGAATGTGCACACATGAAGCCTACTTCACACCATGCGCACACACAGTTTGAATATCTGTGATAGGGTGAAGTGGAAATGAAAAATAAGGCGAGACGGACCATTTTAAACAGCCTGCATTATTTTTAGCTGTTTACATATATTTCAGTTCATAAAGTGTTTTGCATTTATCTTGACCTAATGAATTTTGTTCTTATTTCTTTTGCCTTTGTCATTTTTTTTTCTGTTTTTAATTTTTGATTTAAATTATTCTTATTAATGTATTTTTTTATCAGGATTGACCTAACATAATAAAGCCTTTACAGGTGTATGAATAAATTGCAACTATCTATAAAGAGCTGTGGCTGTGCGTAAGGATGACTGTTCTGGTGTTTCTGGAGGAGTTTGACAATGTTAGACGGTAAGGAGATCGTTTAGAGATGGTTCTGCTTCCCTGTAAAGGTGTTTAGCCAAAACTGCGATGCGTCCATCTGCTGTTGTCCTCATGTTCTCTTTGTGCCCATGTATGCGCTTTCCTGCCTCTAGCTTACAATACGACTACGTCTCTTTTTAGCCTCGGTCCTCTGCTCTGTACTAACAGTATTCACAGCCTCGGTTATTTTTTGCATTTCAGCAGCATTTCTTCTCTTCGTCATCCCCGTCTCAGTTTTACACTCATTGAATTCGCACTTCTTCTTTCTGTAGCTTTCAATGCCATGTCTAATAACGTGTGGTTCAAGACTGCGTTGTTCTATGCAAATGACTGATTAAGGGCGTGTCTGTGTGTATATATGGCCAAGGATGGGAGGTGAAAAGAAGCTCTTGTATTCCAATTCCACAACCATGCAGTTTTATAAAGAACCAGACGTACGTCATACTATATAAATTAAAAAAAAAAAAAAAGCGCTCACTTCTGTCTTGGTGCGTACACACAATTTTAGTCATGATGAATCTACACAGTTTTATGCATCTGGTTTATGAGGTATAAACTCCCCTCAGAAAGTTCATAATTCCTTTTTAGTGCACAAAACATTAGACTCTGTGATAAGTTTTTTTGCTTCCACAATGAGATGAATTTATTTGTTTAATACAGTATCTAACTAATCACAAAAAGTACAATATAAGCATTAGATTTTTGTTGTTGTTGCTGCTGAGATGTGGATTGTGCAAAAGTTTGTTGTTTAATAAGAGATCTTCCTATGTCATCTAGACACTGTATAGGGAGGTTAAATCAGCTCTAGTCAACAGTGTTCAAAATATTTATCTAGCCTAAGTAAAAGCACCAATACCACAGCATACTTGATTATAAATAACACGTATTCAAAATCCTACTTAATGTACAGAAGAATCAAAAACAAAAAGTATGTGTAGTGTTTTACGGTGATTTCAGTATTTTCAGATTTAATATGTTTAATTTGGACTAATTTTCCTGTTGTTCTGTTGCATTTCTTCACCTTCATGCAACACTTTGAAGTGCCCCAACTTTCCTTGCTTACTGTTAGGCCAGCACTGATTCTCTTCCAGAATTCTATGAATGGAGATGTGAGTAGAGGCTTTGAAACAAAATTCAGACCTGTATCACACAACACAAAGCAAGAGTTTTGTTGTTTTGTCAAGATTTTCTGAGGGCTGAGGGTTATGTAGGAGGGACTTGTGACATCTAGAACTTCTGGCTAAAGCTCTGTATATACGCTTAGTTGGCAGTTTAAGTACACCTGGCTAAAACTACTGCAATCTAATCCTACAGTGTAGCAATAAGCCTTCATGAAGGTGATAGTGTTCAGTTTATGCTACTGTGATTATTCAGTTATAGGTTTGTCCAAGGACTACACTTGTCTACAGTAGCCATCCTGGAAAATTGAATTTCACACATCAGATCTACAAGCAAAAGTGTATTGCTGAGCTGTCTATGTGCATGTGACGTTATCTTAAAGGGCAACTCCAGTGATTTTACACATCAAGGTCTGCTTATATTCTAGGTGTTGGGGAGTTCTGTTGCATATGTATAAAAAAGTTTTAAAAGCTTTTTGTAGCAAAGTCCGATAAATTACATCAAGTGAGTGTGTCTGTTGGTAGTCAAGCTGCATTGTGGGTGATGTAGGCATGAGGTTTTCATGAGATAGAACAATGTGTGGAACAAAAATAAATAAATTAATTAAAACAACATGTGCTGCAGTCCTGTCCAGCAGCAGTACTATTCTTCTCTTAAGACAAAACCATTTCACTTTTCAGTTACTAGTGTAATGTACTGTAGTTTCACAGTCTAAATGTATAATTTTTTAGACAAAGGAAAATGTCTTGAATGTTTTTTTAACATGTAAAGTTAATCTGTAAAGAGCTGTAGTCTCTCCTCATATTGAGACAATGTGTAACAGTGAGGTTTATTTTTTAATAAGATTTCACCTTGTTTTATAAGTCCATATTTATCACTGTATGAAAAGAAGGAAAGGCCAAAAGTTGAAAGTACAGTACTGGATGGGTATTAGAACAAAGGAACGTGTTAATAAAAGAGACAAAATAACAGTTTGATAGGACACTGACTAGTGCTGTATGAGGACATGTGGTTTCCATGGAGACCATTTTGAGATATACAAATATGTGCATTTGTGCTTTTCAACAAGGATGGATTACCCAGGTTTATGCATGAAGGTCACAAACACATGTACATACGCATTTGTCAGTCTATCTTTGTCAGGACATTCACTAACATAATGCATCCCCTAGCCGCTTACTCAAATGTCAACCATCACAAATAGATGACTACCCCAACACTTACCCTAAGCCTAACCTGAACCTGATTCTAACCCATATCCTAAAACCAAGTCTTGACAGCCTTTTGAAGAGGTGTAAGAAAGTGAGGATGGGCCAAAATGTTCTCATTCTGCAGGTCTAAAACCTGAGAGCAACGAGTTTTGTGACAGCCTTAGGGCTGGGCACAACAGACAAGGTCAAAAGGTCAGAAATTATTAAAAGATGGACTAATGCATTGTCAGTATTCAGTCAGTCTTTTCACAGAATTTGTTCACAAGAAAAATACTGAGTATCGTCTGCCTTTATAGGCCAATTGTCATATACAGTCACAAAAACAGAATTACATGTCCTTCTAATTTGCGTCAACATATTTTACTTTTGTTACAGTAGATCAAGATTTGAAGAACCCTCTCAATCTACGTGTCACATCCCATGAAAAAAAGTCTCCTGTTTAAGCTGCACTGGCATTTGTAACCTCTCTCACTAACATGCTTCAGAAGAACACATCTAAAATCAGTTGTTGGAGAGATTTCATACATGTGTAAAATGCTGGTGAGCTGGTAGCCTAAACCAGATGATCATTTTACCCCTGTTTAGAATTTTACCCTACAATTAGCATATAACTTTGACAATACTCAGTAAGCAGTAGCAGTTCCTCTGCTCACATCAGTGCCTTCGTTTGCTGTAATTAGAAATTCTTAGTGTCTGAAAATCCAATGGCTACCTATGAACTATCGTAGTAGCAGTCATAAGGCGATCACTGTTAGTTCTATGAAACTAAGGAAAGCAGCACTGTCTGCAGAGTTCTTCATGTCTGTATTTGTTGTTGACAGAGGGACTTTATGATAATTATATTGGTCAGGATACAAATCTTGTTTTTTCCTTTTTTAACCTATTTATTCAGGGTAGGTTCAGTGAGAGACCGCCTGCCCTAGCTGTTCACATTCACAACTGAAAGCTGTCTAGTACAGCCACAGACTGACCCATGGCCACGAAGCAGCAGCTCCACTGGACCAGTATGGGGTTATGGGCCTTGCTTAAGGGCACCGCGCTGCTGTAATGAGGATGGTGAAAACACTGTTTTGTCATTTGTCTCACACAGA